GGTTCTCAAAAATTCTGTTTCTTTGGTTTCTTTGTTGTGGCCCCACCCCATAACAAAGAAACAGAATTTCCAGAGGAGGAGGCCCAGAAATCAGGATTTTAAAAAGATTCCCAGGTGATTCTAATGTGCAGCCAAGGTTGAGAACCACTGCTTTAGAGAGTTCACATATCTATTCTTTGACATTATGCCCCTCTGTACGCATGTCCTTTTTTAATTGCTGTGGATGCCTGCATCTTGTAGAGAAAAACTCATTACTTTTGCCACCAGATTCGATTCAAATAGCTTGGAATCTTCAGTTTGTTTTAGCCACTGGAGCTCAGCCAGTCACTGAACTATTTTTGACTAAAATTAGTAAGAAAGAAATTCTGTTCACTACAACAAAGGTTGTCTTTCCATTAAAAAGATAATATGCATTTAGGTAATCATAAGACTCCTACTGAAATCAGCATATCTATTCATGTGCTCAGCTTAAAATAAACATCCTTTATTTTCTTAGTTTATCACATTAGAGGTCTGCTTTATCTACAAGGCAATTGTGGCAAACAATGGGAAACTGTCTAGAATGCAGTGTCTTTGCTACTTCTGACATGAATAAATATTGAACTGATTAGAACATGTGCTAATATCAGAATCCAAAATATTTCCTTAAACTCTATCAAACAATATTATAAACCTTCATGGTTTTATGTACATATTTTCCACTATAATTATGTGATGAATACACAGTTAGTAAAAAAGCATCCTTAGGAATACCGCCTGCCTCAGAACATTACCTTTTGTGTTGCATTTACATTTATATTTAATTTTCAAAATGAACCTGGGCATTTCGGTACTAAAAGAATAGAACTAAATAATGACAAATCCAATGGGGCTGAAAGTCACGGGTCCATTAAAACCGTATTTACTGGTTTCTGGGCTAGATTTTTTACTTTGAAAGTATTGTTGCAGTGTAATATAAAAATACCCTAAGAAAATCAAATGAATAAAGTGCTATTTCTGCAAGGTTTTACCTCTAAATAAGGACACAAATCAAGCTCAGCAGAACTCACCCTATGATGCCATAATGTCTTACACTGGTATGAATTAAAAGGAAATATTTTTATTAAACACCTAATGTGTCAAGTTTTACCTGTGCAAGGACTTTCATATAAGAATACATAATAGAGAAGCTAGGCTTGAGATCATTCATTAAGAAAACAAAGGCTTCACTAGGATAAAAGTTCCAAAGTAAACTGAAAGTGACTGTGGGGAAAAAAACAATAGAGAAGATCATGGTGACTATAAGCAAGCAAAACAATAAAAAAAATCTCTCTCATTTTTTCCTCTCTCTCTTCTCCTCCTTCCTTCCTGAATAATACAGTCCTGATGCCCTAAAGTCAGGCAGGCCAAGTTAGTCTCCAGGGAAAGGCCTAGGCTGGTGTGGAGTGCTGAGGACCCAGAGGTTAAGGAGAGCAGCTACAAGTCAGGAGCGTAGGCTATCAAAGCCCAACAGAAGGAGAAAGGCACGAATGCTGCAGTGGGTGTCAGAGTCAGTGGTCAGGCTCAGGGTTTCAGAGCCAGAGCAGGATGAGGAGGGCATCTTTGGAAAGACGCATCTTGTCATTAGGTGTCGGAACCCAGGTGGAGTGGTGAGGCTGACAACACGGGGGGAAGTTTTGCTGTGGGGTGACAGACCCCAAACAGAAAGGGAGGTGTCCACGTGGAGAGGAAACCAGTGTGGGTTTCAGAGGCCAGTTGTGTTGGGGAGACATCCAGTGGTTCAGATGAAAGAGTGGGAAGAGGGTGCCCATATGGAGGAGCCTGGAGGAGGGAAGAGTCGGAGCATGAGCCCAGGGAGGAGAGTGCCCAGGTGTGTGTGGAGGGGAGGGGACAGTGTGAGACACCAGAGCCAGAGTGTATGAGTGGGGAATGGGGTGCAAAATGCAATGGGAACTTGGTTACATACAGGGGTACCAAGCAAATTAAATATATTAAGAATATACTTAGGGACCAGATTGGCATCGGCAGAAAAGGGAGTTACAAACACAGAATTGGGGGGAAAGTAGAATGAACTCTTGGTGTTGGGTTGGAATTGAAGATATCGGTATGAAATGAGTGATTAACTTAGAACAACATTTTATGCCAGAAAACAAGACAGTGCTCAAAGAAAGATAGGATATGTCAAGTATTCATAGAAGCCAGCTTGAAGGATCTTCACAGAACAACTCTGGGACAAGGTGAGCATCAAAATAAATAATGATGGTTATGTCATATGACACATCGAATAAAATAGGAAACCATGAGTCCATGTTGATATACATAAAGCAATAAATAAAAACCTTCATGAGGCACTAGATGTTTACTTAGTTAAAAATACCATCCCCCACCCCCACCATAATAAGCTTACTAATTAAAAAGAAAAAAAGAGTAATTTTATAGTGCAGAAGCCTGGAAGACACCTATTAATCAAGTGATCTAGGTATTTATCACTAATATGGGTCAACAGTACAATCATAAAGCAAAGGCAGGCACAACACCAGGGTCCTTGAAAGCGATGTGAAGGTGTGACAATGAGGTGGCTAACTAGCTACTCCAAGCAAAAGATCCACCCTAGCAGATAAAATCAATTAGGACAAAAACCTATAATTATCTTCCTCTTGACCAGTTGGCATCTAAGGCAATAGTTTTCAGATGTAATTATTTCTCTGTCAAATGCAATCCTATTTAGAAGTCCAGTGCATACAGTAGGTAAAAATAAAGTTGCTCTCATTGAATACAGAGCAGGGAGCCCAGATCCCTGCCTCTTTACCTATATCTGATGTTCTGCTGAGGAATCCCTAGGACCCAAGAGTCACTGGTGGGAAATTATTAGTATAAAGCACTGCTGAGGAGGTTCTCAGAGGTACTCATGCTTTAAAGGTACTTCCTTACGTGGACAGGTGCATAATAACAGGCTGGTTCTCTTTCCCTATCTTTATGCAAGAATGCATCAGTCTGCACACAAACCACCCATTCTGACCTCTACCAGGACTTTCTAGGCCAAACAGAGCTGTCTTCATCAAGAAATACTTTTAATTTTTTCTTTATCCATAAAAGGATCGTAATCTGGCACTACTCCGTGGAAATATATATGGAGGTAATACACTTAACATGCAGCTGAAATAGTTTCTGAATCAAGTTAAAAGTATATTAAATTATTTTCTTCATTAGGTAGATATAGTTTATGAAAATCTGGTTATATAGTTATTGCCTTAGGAATCTTCTTGAAAATTTGAGCCCCTTGGTTCTGAAAAAGAGACCCCTTAACTGGTCCCAGAGTAATTACAAGATATAAACTAAGGTTTCTTCAAATTTGATACAATTAAGATAGTTTCAGAATATTTAATAATTACAGAATATTGGGATCATATACTCAGGGACAAAATGATTAATTAGAATTTTCTTTGAATAAATTAGTTTTGCTTTTTCTATGCTTTGATAAAATATATAATTAAAGTTATGAAATAGACTATTATATTTGTGATCTCATTTATTTATTTAAAATTGAATTGAAACTTTTATCTAAGCCATAACTTGGAAACGTAAAAATACCTGCAGCTAAGATCGAAACAAAGCATTTTGTTAACAATAGTGCAAAATATCAGCAATCTTCAGGACCCTACAGTTTACATAATCATGCTCTGTTTACACCTCCAAAATCACAACTATTACTGTAATTGTGTTGAGCACTGGGTCTCTTACCAGTACATGTTATCCGGCTTTTTACGGTTTCTTTGGTGTATAATTCTCTTCTTCCCTATCAGACCCAGCACTTCCCTCGTGAGATCATCCTATCACAGAGCCTCATCATGAAGGTGCCTACAGTTTACATAATCATGCTCTGTTTACACCTCCAAAATCACAACTATTACTGTAATTGTGTTGAGCACTGGGTCTCTTACCAGTACATGTTATCCGGCTTTTTACGGTTTCTTTGGTGTATAATTCTCTTCTTCCCTATCAGACCCAGCACTTCCCTAGTGAGATCATCCTATCACAGAGCCTCGTCATGAAGGTGTAAGAGGTACGTGCTGAAGAAGAAAAGCAGTATCTTGTGAGGCACCTACCGCACTGCAGGACTCTGAATTGTCCTTAAACAAGGCAGGTCTTACGTCCTATCAAGGGAAGTGGGTGCTTTTGCAGGCCTGGAGGGTTCAGGCACTAAGGGGAATCAGGCTTTCAAAGGCATCTATTAAATATCCCCTATTTGAAGTCTCAGATAGTATTTTCTCCCTCTCACCCCTAGGGCTTGGGTAGGAGACTTTCCTAAGCTGAGAAGAGTTTTGCCTGTTTATAGTCCAGTGTTGTGTGTGATTTTTAGCTCTGTCTTTCCTCCGGCTTCAAGAGCTGAGAGGCTCTTTAAATAATGCCAAGTAGACCCTCTAACTTTTCTACTTTGCTTTAAAGTCATGATACATAGATGTGAGTCTGACACTTTCTCTTTTAAACTCACAGTTGCTGTTTAGCAGTAGCTACTCAATTCCAATAATACTTATTGTACCTTTATACTTACTGGTGTAGTTACTATTTTCCCCACACATCGCAAACATCATAGACACAGGCCAGTTCATCTATGCCCTTCTGACTGTACCGGATCTAAGTTCATCATTGGTGAAAGTCTTAGCAACACAAAGCCAAAGCAAGCCACAGTCTATTAACCTTTCACCTCTCCCCAGCGACTGGGTCTCACTGCAATCCAGCTAGCGGGTTATCTAACTCTTGAGTTCCATTTTTAAAGTCAGCTTCCTGGCCCTAATCCCAGCACTATCTTGGTCAAATTCTCTAGAAACATCACCCGAGATTCTTGTGCAAATTATTGAAGAATTCTCAGGAGAAAGGGAGGAGATGAAGCCTTATAGTGTAGAAACACTAAACAAACAACCACAAATCCTAAACAAGAATCTGGTCTCAGCAAGAGATTAGCTTTAGTCTGATTTCATGGTGAGTTTGAAACACACATTGCATCATAGGGTCGGTCCTACCTTGAGCAAGGGAGTCAGTCTGGCAGCATCAGTCAGGTTTCAGCCTTGGCTACTTGGGGTGGAGGGCAGGGAAGTGGAGCATCACCTCCCAGGTAACGTTGGATCCTGGAAAGAATCAGTTGTGAGTTTTCAGCAATCAGCCTCGTGAATGCTGTGGGGCAGGTGCACCAACTCAGGGAAGGAGATCCGGGCCACTCCATCATTCAAACCAGGATAATCTTGAGAGTAAAAGGGACAGCTGTTGATAATTATGACCAAGAAAAAAATCAGTGTAAACTAAAATTGTCACAGGCAAATAGAAATGCCTGCTCATTCCACCTCCGCCCCATTATTCCCTTGCTCTATGGCCATGACACCAGCCAAAGGCCAGGTTTCCCTGAGGGATATGCAGCCTTCTCCACAGGAGGCCTGGGGATGTAAGACCCCCACACCTCCTCTGTAAACCACCCCCTCCTGGGCTCGGGCTTGGAGAAAAGGTGGAGATGAGAGAAGACTGGGGAACCAATTCCCTTGCTTTTACTCCTCAGTACAATCCCGCAGGACCCGGGAGAGAACTGTTCATCCTAACTATTACAAAATTTTAAGTAGAGAAATAATAATAATCATTCACTTAAACGTAAAATAAATTCAAGCCCACAGTGCAAAACACACTTTTCAACGTTTTTAAATTGCATATCCAAAATCAAAAGGGAAAGATGTGATAATTTTTTTTAATGGTATTAGAAGTGCTAAGGTTACACAAAAGGAAAAGGCGAAGAAAATGAAAATGAAGTTTCTTTTAAAAATACTGTATTCAAGAAACCAAAGGACTCGGAAGAGTTGTGAAATGTTCAAATGTTTTACAGGTGGCAGATGTGAAGTCATTACCTCAGGGCTCCCAATATATACTAGTAATTTAAACACTGGACTCGGAAGAGTTGTGAAATGTTCAAATGTTTTACAAGTGGCAGATGTGAAGTCATTACCGTATTCAGGGCTCCCAATATATACTAGTAATTTAAACACATCTGATTCTGAGAAAATGTTATTAGAAAACAAAACAGTAAGAAAAAAATCAATTTTCAAGTCCATGAGAAACAGATCTTTATAAAGAAAAAAAAGTATATCCCCTATTGTTTCCTGGGAGTTTCCTTGGAAACCAGGGAGCAGTACTGCCTGTGGAAGGCAGTGATTGCAACCTGGTGTGAGAGTTTAAGGCGGGACGGGCACTTCGACAACTTCTTCCCAGATCCTCGAGGCTTCAGGATCAGCCTCAGAGTTCCCTCATCCTGAGCGAAGAACTGCTGGATGATGTTTTGATTTTGAGTGAACTATCTGATCAAATTGTAAGACAAGCAGTGCTTTTTTTAGTTGAGTTGTATATTTGTGATATTGAAATGTAAAAACAATATAAACAGCTTTGTTGAGGTTTAACTGACAAACAATAAATTGCACATGTTCAATTTGTTTGTATTGATTTTAGACAGAGAGGAAGGGAGACTAAAGATTCACCCTGGAGTCTATCACCAATGAAATCATATTATTAAGTTAATGACAAAATATTCATCTTGACAAGTTTATAAATATTCAGTCCTATTTGAGACTAGTCTGTTTCTCCACCAGCAGAATTAATGTTACTGTTCAGAATCACTCTCCAGCCTTAGCTTAATTGTTTATTTATAGCGTATGTTTCTCCAGACCCTGATAATTAGGGTTTTAAATAAACACATGTTATGAGACCATAATATCCCTGTGCCGGGGTCCAGCCCCGGGGGTCCAGGGGTTCCCAAAGGTGTGGACGGAGTCGGCGAAGAATGTTTTACACGGAGACAGCCTTCAGAACTCCCTAGCTCTCTTTAGTCTCCGTGGATCTTCCTGTGCCTGGCTGAGGCCACAGAGAAACATCCCGAGGCAAACTGAGCCTTTATTTTTATAGTCAGAGGTACACAAGGTAGTGGTTACCAAAGTTACACTGTTCTTGTGAGTTTCACTTGTTTTTGTTCCTGTTGCACTTTCCTCAGCCCATTAGCTTCCCAGGTAAGATCTAGGGAGCCCTATAAGGTCAAGCCTAATTATGCTAAGAGGACTGTGCCCTCTAAGCTGGGACTTGTTTGTGACTTTGCCAACAGGTCAGTCCGAGGTTTAACCCTATAGCGGCTCCCCACATCCCTGCAAATGCTACCCTTCATGGTTATTGCTGGGCATTCATTAGGAATTCAAGTTTGCTTATGTACAACATTCATTAGAGACCACATGGCAACCACCATCATTTTTCTATTTGTCTCTGCACCCCCGCCCCTTTTCTGGTGATGCATGAAGACAGGGCCTGTGCATTTATTGCTCACAACTGAGCTGTCTTTCTCTGTCCATCACTCCACCATTACCACCAACATAATATGGAGCTTTTTCAGGCACAAACCAGTAGTGAATCCAGACACTATGCGATTTCTCTTTTTCATGTGTATAATATTCTATAAAAGATTGGGTTTTAAAAGAAACAAAATAATTCTAAAATAATAATATAATGATTTTAATGTGAAATGTACTAAATAGGTTAAATGGCAGATAAGACAGAGCTACAGAAAGAATAATATGTTGGAAAAAAAACAGAAGAGAGAAATTGCCTGTACTGCAAAATCAAAAGATATTTTTTAAAAAGAAGGTATTCAGTTGAAGGTAAGAGAAGACCCAATACATGTGTAATTGGAATTCTGGAAAGGAGAAAAATAGAGAGAACAGGGAAAATACAATATTCAAAGAGATTAATGACTGAGAATGTTCTAGAATGGCTGCAAGACAGGAATCTTCAGATTCTGTACTTCAGGTAGCTCAAAATTAGCAGGAGGGAAGAAATGAATTAAATGTAGACTGTAAATTATGCTAAATATTTAGATAATCAATTAACAATAATCATTTATAACTTCAAGCCATGGGAATGGGGAAAATTTTTTTTAGATTTGGTCATTCCAAAAGTAATCAGGAAAGGAGGGAAAAAAAAAATGTGAGAAAAAGTAGGTAAAAAGAAATCATCAAATAGATGTTAAAATAAAACAAAATATATTAAAAATCATAATATATATAAACGGACTGCATTTGACAACTAACTACAGACATTATCATATAGGAATGGCAAATACATTCAGACAACTTAATGAAATTGCTATTATAGTGAGTACACACAACCAGCTGTGAGACAAAAGGCACTAAGGAGAGAAAAGAAGGCTTTTAGAGAAAGTGATGGATGCACTGAGTATGTGAGTATGCATGGGAATTTCCTAAGGACACAAACAAGACAAGATCATTTCCGAAATAAAAACAGGCATTTGTTAAAAATAATTACAATGTATTTTTTATCTTTCCCCTTCATTCAATGGAAAAAATAGAAGGTTTGGGAGGAAAAGTGGGGGAAATTAAAAATTAGAATTCCTTTTACATTTACAAAAGACTTACCTGTTCTAGAAACCTTTCCCTGATGATCTTTTAAAATAGAATGAATTTTCATTTTCTGGGTTAGTGCCATAAAGCATTAGATCAGTGATTTATAAACATTGACAATAGCTCTCATAATCAAGTATGCGTAGGGCTGAGAGAAATGAAGATATTAACTTTTCCATACATTCAACACTGTCTTTTTGGATATTTGGTTTTAAGAAATTCTTTACATTATGATTAATGGTTATGATATGTAAAGATTTTTCTTTGCTTCTTAATAGTTTTTAATTTCCTTTTTGGCAAAATAAGAAGTTGACAATAAAAATCAAATCTCTTTTTCTCTTGCATTAAATTGCATTTATTACAATAAAGTCCATGATATAAAAAAGTGTGGAAATCACAAGATTAAATGACTCTCAAAACTTCTTTTGCAAAGATTGATGCAGCTAGAAAAATAATGTTTTCCAAAAACTACACAAGAATTGAAAAATTGCTTTAAAGAGAACCAATCTAAAAACTATAAAAACTATTTTTCTCCCCAGTTTGATAAATTTACTCTTTTAGTAATAAATATATGACTCCCTTGTTTTCAGAACAGTAAACTGAAAACCAGGCATACAACATTTATATCTGTTGTTCTCCTTTAGAGAGAAAAAGTATCTTATTAAATAATACAGCTTCTATGCATGTGTGTATGCTTCTAAAAATCAACAAGGAGTTCTTATTTGTCTCTAAGGAAAAGGAGTGTTTTAAAAAGTACTAAGAGATTTAAAGGCGTTATGCTTTTATATTTTATATTTATTCTCTGCATATAGCACATTGAATTCTCTTTATTTCTCATATTGTTCAAGAAAACAATTTCTTACACAGTAGCTCTCTCGTATATTGTTGCTAGACTACATGAATAATAATACCTATTAGGTCTGTCATGATGAAATGGGAGCTTGTATAATCTATGTGATGTCATTTATTCATAAGAATCGTGAGAATTTGATCATGAGGAATGGAATGCAAGCATGAGCATCTGCTCTCACCTTTCGCAGATATCGTCAGCCAGGCTTCCTACACCTACTAACACCTATTATTTTCATTTTATTAGTAAATTTAAAGACAGAACATAAATGAGCCAAAGATAAAACTTTGCCAACAGCTTCATTAAAAAAAAAAGCCAATTTTCCAAGAATATTAATTCTCAAAGTGTGGCCCCCAAGCACTTATGGGGTCCTCAAACCCTCACATGTCAAAACATGGTCAAGATGTTTTTCTCCCTTTTCACACACACTCTCCCACTAGTGTGCAATGGAGTTTTCAGAGGTTACGGGACATATGATGATAGTAGACCATCAAATGTGTCCACATTTGGAAGATTGTCAGACCTCAGTGATTCAATATTCTCCAAATGACCAAAGAATGAGGTGACTAAATCCTGAGTGGATAAAAGATCCCCTCAAAGTGCAAGATAGATCAATAGATTTTAATGTAACAAAATATGAAAAGTATAGTGCTATTTGTCAGATTCCGCATTGGAACTAACCTTCAAGAAACTATGAATTGCCAAGTCTTGGTGTTGCATGAAAGAACATATACACAGTTACCTGAAAAGTCTATTAAAATACATCAACCATTTTTAACTCCATATCTGTGGAAAGCCAGATATTTCTCTTATACTTCCATGGAACAACTTGCAACAGATT